AAATGAACGATTAATAGGTCACGCACCTCACCTGACGATTGACACCTGAGGCACCTCAGCTGTAATCTGACGCAAGCGTTAGTCTGAGGCACAACATATATAATAAATAAATGACAGATTATATTATTTAGTAAACATTTCTTGAAAATAAAATATTAAAAAATAGAATTAGATTTAAAACTTTCTATTTATCAACTATTCGTAACATTCTTAAAAAAGAATTGCTAAAATGATATTCTTATTTATTTTTATTTTTTTTTAATTTTCAAGCCAATAAATTATTTTTTTTATTAGCTGGCATCATAGAAACTTGCAATCAAATTTAATTGGAAATCTTGATCTGAATTATTGGTTTTTTTAAGAAAATCTGAATCCATTCAATAAATAAATAATAATGACAAAATAAATAAATCATATGATTAAAGAGATAAGTCATGCATCATAAATAAGTGGTTATAAATGAGAAAATATATATTTAATGTAAAATAATATTATACTATATGGAATAGAGATATAATATACAATATCTAATTACATGTGATGAAATTAAAAGAAAAATCAATTTTATTATTAATTAATCCATTTCATTATCTACAGAACATATATCAAAATATTCCACACTTTTTCTTTGTTTAAAACATCTGTTTTATACAAAAAAAAATACATATTAGTTAAATAATGATAAATATTTGTTATAGAATTAATTCAAGATAGATCTTTGGTGTTTTCTTCTTGCAATAATTCATTTAAAAAAATTTTTTTTAGAATTTTCTGCTACACCTGAATTACAGTTTGAATGTTCAAAATTATTCTCTTGATTAGACTTATTTGAAAATTATTAAATATAGATACATTAAAGATTTATTAAATAATATATAGAATATTATAATTCTTACTTGATATTCATTATATCAAAATTATCCTTAGAGTACAAATTATTGTTAGAGAATAGATCTATAGAAATCATATACTGTATTTAAGAAATTATTAATATAATTAATTTAATTTTAAAAAATATAAAATAACTAAATACCTGATAACATAGAATTTAATGATGTACTATAATATCTGGAATTAGGATGCTCATAACCTGGATTTTTTACAAATGGTTTTTTGGATTCAACCATTTCAAGTCGTTTATCTTCAGCTTTTTTAAATAACCAAATATAATATTTATCTAGAAGATATCCTGAATAATTAAATGGAAAATTTCTAAATAATTCATAAATTTCTTGTATTGTTGGTCGTTGAGAAGGATCAGAATGCCAACATCTTTTCATTAAATTTGCCCAACATTCTGGTGTATCTTCTGTAATCTCCAGTCTTTTTCCATCTAAAATATCTAATATAAGTTTAGATCATGAAATGGTCTATGTCCTGATGTCAATTGCCACATAATCATTCCTAAACTATAAATATCTGATGCATATGAA